TTGATTCCAATATTGCAGCTACTCTATCTGGCATTGATTTCCACAACTTTTCCAAAAACTCCTCAGGAATTGTCTTCCAAACTAAAGGTAATACTTGTGCAAGTCTCTTCTTAACAGCTTCTTTTCCTCCTGGGGTATCTCCAATCCTTGGATACTGCTAGTATAATTGCTTTTTAAGCTCAACCCATACATGCTTAATAGGATTTAAATCAGGGGAGTAAGGGGGATGGTCCAGCAATTCAATACAATTTCTCTCAAACCAAGCCATAACACTCTAAGCCTTTTGAACAGAAGTATTGTCTTGCTGAAAAAAAATATCTTCAAGTTGCATACCAAAGGAAATCATCTGATGAATAACAGGAAAAAGATGTCTTCTCAAGAGCCTAACATACCTGGTCTTATTGATATTTTGTGTAATAGGAACCAAGGGATCTTTTCTCTTTCTCCAAAAGCACACCCATATGTACTATTAGTGAAATTTCCTTATCCTTTTCCTTTAGATGAACAAAATCTGCTAGCCACTGCTCCCCAGGTTCTCTGAAAACCTACTGCTGCCTAGGATCCTTGGATTTCTCCACACTGCCAGTGCACTCATCTATCCAAACGACTTTCTCAAAATTGTTAGCAGTCCAATCCTTACTAGTATGAGCCTTAGCCTAGTCTAATCTTTTAGCAATATGTACAGGCTTGAGCTATGGTCTTGCTTTGACCAGCTATTTCTTGATATGGGCTTCTCTGAGTATTCTATAAACTATTAATTTTTTAGAGAATCATATCTTATCACTCAAATGAGTACAAGGAAATGGTTGTTACCAGTAGAGAGAAATACCTGGCACATAATGATCCCTGAAATATGATCTAGTTATTTTCCAGTTGGATTTGGCTGCCTGGATAATTATATAATGCTGTCATTATCTGAGAGTTGGTGTGTGACCAGGACAAGAGAAATTGTTCAGTGGTTAACGCTTATATGCACAAGTGAGGAAGCCTTTAATAGTTGTCTATGGCCAGCTGATAATTTGAGCAACAAGAGAAATATTCTGTGGGCAGTAGAAAAATCCAATAATCATACCTTTTTCAACATTGGTCATTTCTGTTCTGGAGGTCTTTGGAGTATTTTTTTTTTTGATATATATCCAGTTTGGTTAACTATTAGAAATAATTAAGGACTCTAGTATGATTATTAAAATAGAGGAAGGAGTACTATTGTGGTGTGGGACAGGTATGGTAGGTACGGTCACAATCAACTCCATAGTATTTGGTAAGGTAGTATTTGGCCAGGTGGCCTTTGGTGAGGTTACTTAGTGAGACATGTTTCATGAACACTTCTGGCAAGGTACTGTATATTAATTCATTCTGAAATAGCTAAGATGCTACTGCAAGAAAGGTTGAATACTGTAAAAGGGATTACAATTGGTCTTTTATGAACCTTGCAAATCATTTAAATAAGTTCTATAACCTTTATCTCATAATACCTATCTGGAATATGTGCTTATCTTTATCCTAGTAGAAGAAGCTAAAGACCTTGTATTTGAACTGGTAGAAACATCTTGGTTGTTTCTTTGGAGATAAGGACTCTTTCTTAGAACTATTTTTTAGGAGAAAGGTTTGTAGAGGAGAAAAAGTATTTGAAAGAGTAGAAAGGTTTTCTTGATTCATAAAACTAATAATAAAACTAATAAGTAAGGAAATATGATAATGGTAGTATGAAAAGCTCTTCTTCTTGGATTATATTAGTTCCTTATATATCACTCTTTATAAAACTCCAATTCTGATGACTCATACTGCTAAGAAATATATTATTCAAATGTATATGGTATGGTACAATCTGAATAACTCTGTATGAAAATATCAGGTAGTAGAAAGAGTATAGTATAAATATGCTAAGTAAGGAGGAAGTTTTATATGAAGGTAGATTGATAGAAGTTCTAACGTACTTCACCGTGAAGTGACACAACACTGGGAAGTGACACAACTTGATATACACTGCTAAGTAGCAACAATTCCACCAGTTCTCAACCAAATAAAATAAAATAAAAGGCAGTAAATGCAGAGTGGGTAGGAAAAAGTAATCAGTAATTATAATTAATAAAAAACTAAAGCTAATCCAAAGAGAACCATCAAAAAGTGCAAAAAGACCTATTAGTAATAGTATAAGAAAACAGATAAAATAAATACATTGTATATTGTAAAATTGTATATAAGCAATGGTAGGTATTGTTTAACTATTGGAGGTTATTTAGAAATGTATACTTATTATTCCAAGAAGGTAGTAAGATAGGCAAGGAGCTAATAGAATAAGCTAAAGTTTAACAGATTTAAGCTAAAGTGGAAAAAACTTTAAAAAAGGATAAAGGCAAAGCAGAACAATCATTAAGTAATAAGGAGATAACATAAGGCTAAAGTATTTTTGAAATTAATATTAGTATAACTTTAACAGTTCTTTTAAGTATAATATTAAATCACTTTACTTAAATATCTGTCAAGATTTCTTAAAGCCTAAATATTTTCTGTACATTTATTCAACAATCCTTAGTTATTACTATTATATTTATTTACCTTTCTTTATATTTTACCTAAATAGTGGTATTATTTGGCTTTATATTTACCTCAATTTTCTCTAGTTCTGTGGTATTACTACTTATATTAAATAAAAAACTATTTTGACAATTAGCAGTAACAGAAAATAGCTTGAACTGTTTATACTTAGGTATTAGGAACATATAAACCTTGTAGTATTTTATTACAGTTAGTTACCATCTTGTTTTATCTGTTATCTTTTCTAAAACTCTTATTCATATTAGTAGCTAAAGTTCAATACTCTAAAACTCTACTTTATCTTCCTACTTCCTCTGCTTTACTACTCTCTCTAAATCACAAATATGCTGCCTCTAGCAATTCCTACTAATAGATAGATACCTAGTATCTTCTTATGTATGGTTTACACCATGTACTGCATTTATTTTATTTATTTTCTTACCTTGTTTTTAATGCATTCTTTTTTCACTCTTTTCAAGATTCTCTCAATATTGCCTTAAATATTTTATTGATTTTAATTCCTGACTACCTTCTCTTACTCCCCTTATATTTATTCTTTTTCTTTTATTTAATTTGGTTCAGAGTTGGTGGAGTTATTACTTCTTCAGTAGTATAGTTTAATTTGTGTCACTTCCCAGTGTTGTGTCACTTCATGGTGGGATATGTTAGTTCATAATT